GCGAAGCAGTGGCATCAGCTGCTGCTCACCTGCTGCGCGGCCTTCCGCAGCAGCAGCAGCAGCAGCAGCAGCAGCAGCTCCAGCAGCAGCAGCTGCAGCAGCAACGATGCTTCTGCTTCTGTAAGGAGACGCAGGCGGCACACAAGCAGCAGCTGCCTCAGCTCCCCTGCGGACCTGCTGCAGCAGCAGCAGCAGCAAGAGCAGCAGCAGCAGCAACAGCTAGATATGCACTGGCAGCAGAAGCACCCTAGAACCCGAAACAGCTCTTCTCTCTCTGGCGATGCGCCATTTGCTGCTGCTGCGCTGCACTGCTGCAGCAGCCACACCGGCAGCAGCAGCAGGAGAAGCAGCAGCAGCAGCAGCTGGAACAAAGAATGGATAAAGCCTTCAGCGAGCGAGAACCTGGCAGCCACGCCCAGAGCAGCAGCAGCAGCAGCAGCATCCAGTGCTGCTGCTGCTGCTGCTGCTGCTGGAGTTTCTCAAGGGCAAGAGAACATCTGCCCTCGCTTTTTCAACACAGCAGCAGCAGCAATAACAGCAGCAGCAGCAACAACAGCAGCAGCAACAACAGCAACAGCAACAGCGTTAGGAGACCTTCCCCACCAAAGACGCACAGCGCAGCAGCAGCAACAGCAGCAGCAGCAGCAACAGCAGCACCACCCATGGCTTGGCCTGCAGCGTACATACGGGATGCAGCAGCTGTAGGCAGATGGCTGCAGCAGCAGCAGCAGCAGCAACAGCAGCAGCAGCAGTACTGGCGAGCGGTGCGTATACACCCCGTCCGCCTGACGGCTGCTTGCGCCTTTGCTTGAGAACTTGTCTTCTTTGTTTTCTTCATTTTTAGGGTTTAGGGTTTAGGGTTTAGGGTTTGGGGTTTGGGGGTTGCCTCCGCGTCAGGAGGCAAGAGGGTTAGAACGGGGGTTTGGTGTTTAGAATTTAGAGTTTAGGGTTTAGGGTTTAAGATTTAGGGTTTAGGGTTTGGGGTTTGGGGTTTAGGGCTTAGGGGTATCGTTCAGCTTTTTGCTTTTCTTTATCATCCTTCGCATTACTAATCAGTATGGGTCTCAATGCATATATATATATATATATATATATATAT